CCGTCTCCCATCGCCGCGCGCGCCTCCAGAACCAGAGCCTCGAGTGAGGACCACACTGGGCAATTGGGGGCGGCTTTAGTTCTCCCTCAGCATTTTCCGTCAGCGACCATGCAAGAGGCCCTGCTGCTGTTGCCTTGCTTTAGTGTCTCAAACGGAACCTTCCCGACCCTCCCCGAAGCGTCCAGCCTCCCCCTCCAGCACAACAGTGCTGGCCACCTCAGAGGCCTGTGGGGTCCGAGGTCGTGTCATTCACCGGGCTTTCCCAGCTCATTCATGGACAGTAGATTCTACATGATTTTTCTGGACATTTGGATATCAGTTTATTCAGCTTTAAACATGTGACCTTGTCGCCAAAATCATCCATTCTTACGTGGTCTTGAAGGACTGACAAGCCACGATTTAGACGTCCATATTTCTTTAAAATCACAAATGAAAACACCTTTTAAAAATCAGAATTCCCTAGTCAGTTATGTTGGTAACCGATCAGCACTTGCGTTTGGTGGGAAAGTTTTGGAAGAAGCTTTCAGTAGCTTCTTGAGCCCCTGCTTTTACCGTGGAGAAGGCGCAGGCCGCTCTCGGGACTGGATCTGGACCGGACGTGCCGCCTCCCCATCCACCTGCCTCGGCCTCACGCTGCCGGCGTGGCTCCCTGTGGCGCGAGGAGGTTCCTTGCAGATGAAATGGCAGATCACAGCGCCGCCGGCACATCCAGCCATTCGCCCCACCAGCCCAGCCCATTCTCAGTCAAGAAATGCTGGGTATAGAGATGGTCAGCTGCCTGGCTCCGCGGGTGCGTGGGAGCAAACCCAGCTACAGCGACGGGAACCGAAGGCACTCCTTTTCCACCGAAGCTAGGCCTTCCCGCGGTCTCTGGAAGAGGGATGAAGTCAGGTTTTCAATGTTTTCCCAGGTAGGCCTGCAGCGGTTTCACAGAAGTAGCCTTCCTGCTATAAACTCTAACGAAAAGCACTCCCCTTGGATTGCTTTTTATCAACGAGCCACCCTCTGGAAGAGACCTTTAGTTTTTGGCAGGTGTTTGGAGTCCGGCCTTACCTCGCGCTGCTGGTTCCCAGCTGCTTCGATGTACCCACAGCACCTCCAGGTCCCAGCAGCCCGTCGGTCCTCCCCGGTTTCTTTTTACTCCGGCAGCCCAGCGGCCTGCAGCCCGGCTCTACCGAGGAAGACTTGCAAGGTAAGTGACCTGCCTGGAGCAGCTGTGACTTAGATTGTAAGTGTGGGGAAAGCAAGGCAGCGGCCTTTTCTGATTGGCCAGAATCGAGAGAAAGTGACCAGTGAAAACCAAGTGTGGGGAAGAAGAGTCGTTCTATCTCGGTGCTGAAGAGAGTTGGCCAGTTGGCCAGTTGGCCAAACCCAATGATTTCAGTGAAAAATTCTATTAAGTAACTGAATGATCTGGGTGGGGTATTCTCATCAAGTTCAATGGTTTCCTCCTTTGTGTGTTATGGGCATAAACTGTCTTTTTGTAATGGATTCTCAAGAGGCTACGATATTATCAAGGAGGGACCAAGGAGGGACAGGGAACTCTTACCGGGCTCTGCTGATTAAAAATCGGAAAAAAAAAAACAAGTTGACATTCAATTGAATGGAGAGGCAGTTTAGTCAAATCATAAAACTAAAAAGAATCTTAACAGGCCTTCTGTGTGGATCCTGTATCTAGGCTACTGTTATATACCCTGCTCATCCAAAAAGATTATTGTATTTTTTTATTTTAAAACATCTCCACAACTGCAGAATTACAGCCTCCTCTGACAACCAATTTAAGTTTAATCAACCTAGATTCTGTACAGTTGACCAAGCTCAGTTCCTTTTACACAGGAAATGAGGCTTGTTCAGAGAGAATGCCTCAGGGGTTACTAGAGATGCACATGTGGGGGAGCATAGTAAAAACTTCGGCCAGCTGGTTAATTTTATGGAAGGCAAGGCAGGATTAAAGGACATTCACCACACACTTCTTTGAGACGTTTCATACCTGTAATTTACAATAAAAGGACATACAATCCTGTAAATAGATTTGTTAATTATTAGTCTCCTAAAATTATATTTGATCTTATAATTGGGTTTTTACATGATACTCCTTGAAGTTCTGGCCTGTGGTCTGTAATAGGAAAGAATCTAACAACACAAATGATTCTGATACTTTACTTTTCAAAATTATCCCCCTAGGTCATACAAGTCATCTGGGGAAGGTTGTTAGAATACATATTTCTCAGCACAGCTGGAATTCTGATGCCAGAGGTCAGAAATGCGGTGGGAGTTACCCCACAGGAGTCAAAGCAAATGATCCTCAAAGCACAAGTTGAAAAACTCCATCCAAAACGGAGAAGAACCGTTTTCCATTCCAAAATAGCCTTGTATTTCAGAAAATTTAAAGAGTCAAGTAAGCATTTAGGAAGAGTCCTAGATTCCAGCTGAGAATAGGGACAGGGGCACCATTTCCAGAATCACCTGGAGAGTAGGGGAAGCCTCATCTTCACAAATATCCCCCGAAAGAACCCATAAATCTGAAATTCTGAGGAATTCATACTCCTTTTAAAAGTATAATGTATAATGCAAATGATTCTGGATGTTAGCTAGTAAATCACTTGTTAATGGACTCACTTTAACAGATAATTGTTTTCTTAAATTTTTAAAATATAATTCTTTATTGTTGAAAGTATGACATATGATCTCTTTTTTCCCCCATTGACTCCTCCAGTTGGCCCGCCCCTCCCCTCTGCCCCAGGCCTTCAGCACCCTATTGTCTGTGTCCGTGGGCCATGCATATATGCATACAAGTCTTTGGTTGATTACCTGCCTTCTCTTCCCCCCACCCCCTCTTCCCTCTGGGATTCCGCACTCTATTCCATGCTTCCATGTCTCTGGACCCAGTCTGTTCATCAGTTTATTTTGTTAGTTAGATTCCACATATGAGTGCGATCATGTGATATTTGTCTGACTATTTCACTTAGCATGATCCTCTCCAGGTCCCTCCATGCTGTCTCAAAGGGTAAGAGATTCTTCTTTTTTACTGCTGCATAGTATTCCATGGTATAAATGTACACAGCTTTTTTATCCACTCATCTACTGATGGGCCCTTGGACTGTTTCCAGATCTTAGCTATTGTAAATTGTGCTACTATGAACATAGCAGTGCATACATTCTTTCTGATTGGCACTTTGGGTTTCTTAGGGTATATTCCTAGAAGTGGGATTTTTTATTGATTTTAGAGAAAGAAGAACGGGAGAGGAAGAGAGAGAGAGAGAGAGAGAGAGAGAGAGAGAGAGAGAAACATTGATTTATAGTTCCACTTATTCATTCATTCATTGGTTGATTATTGTATGTGCCCTGACTGGGGATTGAACCCACAACCTTGGCATATCAGGACAATGCTCTAACCAACTGAAATACCTGGCTGGGGCTCAGTTGTTTTCTTAACATACGGCTAAAATGAACCAAGAAATGAGCATATTAATTGGTAATTTGGGAAATTGAGTCATTTCCATTCACCTTAAAACATGAGAACCAGTGGTCGAATAGGGGAAAGCTTTGGGACAGTGGTCGGCAAACCGCGGCTCGCAAGCCACATGCGGCTCTTTGGCCCCTTGAGTGTGGCTCTTCCACAAAATACCACGCGCGGGTGCACATGTACAGTGTGATTGAAACTTCGTGGCCCTCTTTGGCCCCTTGAGTGTGGCTCTTCCACAAAATACCACCCGCGGGTGCACATGTACAGTGTGATTGAAACTTCCTGGCCCATGTGCACAAGTCGGTTTTCAGCCTGGGCGAGTCTATTTAGAAGTGGCGTTAGAAGTGGGGGGTGTCGGTGAGTCAGGGGGTGGGAGATGCGGCGCAGGCGGGCCGCGGGATACCGCGCGAGGGGAAGGTACATTGTTTTGAGGTGGTCGACCCCTTCCAACTCTCCCATCCGCACTCGTCTATCTGAAACAAGTATACAAGACCAGTGTGGATGGGAGAGTTGGAAGGGGTCAACCTCAGCGAACGTACCTCAATCAGATTGAGGACGTTTTTAGAAAAGGCCAGCTTAGGAGTACCCTAATTAAGTTAATAACAATGTACCTACCTATACAGTTTAAAAAAATTTGGCTCTCAAAAGAAATTTCAATCGTTGTACTGTTGATATTTGGCTCTGTTGACTAATGAGTTTGCCAACCACTGCTTTGGGCAATCTGAGGGTAGACTCAAAAGTTCTGAGGAGTGGATTTCAAAAAGAGGTGGATGAGCAGCAAGAACCAACAGATTCTTCACTGTGCCACTGCAAACCACCCTCCACCTTTGACCTTGATGTTGATAATTGCTTTTGCTCTTTGCCAAGCATCCTTAAAATGAAAGGCAAATTCTGTAGCTTCCACTTTCTTGGCTGTACAAAGAACTTTATTCCTAGAATAACTGTATATGCTTCTGTTTCTTTTATGGTTGCCTTGATTCCTTTTTGGAAGAAGAGGACATTACTAAATTTATTTCTTTGGCCAGGCCAAGAACTTTGAATCAAAGCAGAGTCCCTCTCAATTCTGTGGGGAGATGGATAAAAGCCTAGGCCACCCTAGCTATCTTTGATTCCTGGCTGTACTCTTTACTAGTTTTGTGACTTTGTGCCTCCATTCTGTCATCTGAAAATTGGGGCCTAATATAGGGAACCTACATTATAATATTGTGAAGATGATTAATGAGTTTTCAAAATAGTCCTAAGTACAATAAGCATTCAATAAAAATTAGCTTAATTTCATTATTTAATCTTAAATATTTTAAAGCAGCTTTGTTTTCTTAATTTTCCCTTTTTTCATATCTAAAGAAACCAATATTTCCTATGTTAGAAGATGGTGCTCACTCTTTTAGAGAATCCTGAAACTATATTAAATATTACCATTACCTTTGCTAGTGTTTTATCACTTTGACTTAGGGGGTTTTTATAGCCAAAACAAAAATTTTTAAATTAATAAATGTATATTTTGATATTCTGGAGAACAATTGTCGGTTACCAAAGCAGCAAAGGCTATTATCCTGTTTTGGGGTTTTGACAGTGAGGAGGAAGAGATGCCCTAAGTTTAAAAGACGTAAGACTTAATGATACTCGTACCCCCACTAGAATCCTGGGGAAAAGGTTAGTGGAAAAGAGGTGGCCCTTAGAGAAGTCAGTGTGTTTCATACTGTTTAATCATTGAAAACATTTTAATTTTTGCAGAACCACAGAGGGCAGTTAAAAAAAAACACAAACCAATAGTGAGAATTTGAGTAAACCATGGCTAGTGCAAATAAATCTCAGGGTTAATCAGCACATCCTTCCACAAGCACTAGGTGGTGCTATAAATTTAGTTTTGAGATTCAAAGTACTACCTCAGGAAATGGTTGTCTTTATTCCACAAATATTTACTATGTAATGAACAAAATATTAAAAATCTCTGTCCTTGTGAGGATGGTGAGAAGAAAGGAAAATGATAAACATAGTAAGTCTTTAGAAGTATAGTATTTTAGAAAGTGGTACATGCTATAGAAAATAGAGCAGGGAAAATGAGATGAGGCGGCAACGGCAATTTTATTTTTTTATTTTTTTTTAAATTCATTATAATTTATTTTTATTACATATGTGTCCTTATCCCTACATTACCCCTCCATCCCCCCAACTCATGCCTTCATCCCCCTGTTGTCTGTGTCCATTGGGTAGGCCTATATGCATGCATATAAGTCCTTTGGTTGATCTCTCTCCCTTACCCCAACCCTCCACTACCTTCCCTCTGAGGTTTGACGGTCTGATTGATGTTTCTCTGTTTCTGGATCTGTTTTTGTTCATCAGATTATGTTGTTCATTATATTCCATAAATGAGTGAGTGAATCAATTGTTTCTTATGCCCTAACCCAGTGGTCGGCACACTTATTAGTCAACAGAGCCAAATA